TTGTGACACTTTGCTTCCTGATAGTCTGTGTTTGTATTTCTCTCTTTTTTGAGACGTGTGTTCTAAGTCTGTCTGTTGGTGATAGATTTGACTACACTTGTTGTGACAGTTGAGTTTGAAACAGTTGCTGACTGTGGAATATTTGACGTCATAATATTTATCTACAGCATTCATACCCGAAATTCTGTAGAGGAAGAAAAATGTTTGATATTTTCACCTGAATTGGTTTCAGCACATGATGGCATCATTTACTGTATATCTTTAATGTGTTAGTCTATTTGGCAAAAATGTCTTGACTACATGAAGTCAAAATCAATATATAGAAAATCACTGATAAATGTGCGTAATAATTTATTGACTATTTTATATTTTGGCTGTTGATCATGCAGATAAGTACAGTCATCCATCTTTGCAGATGGTTGATACTGTGTATTATGGATAATTATGGATGTATATTTAGATTCATACACGTTTCTCTTTTCCTCAGACTCTTCAGACAAAGACAAACCGGTCCAGGCCACTGAGTTCTCCTCCACTATCGAGATGCCTGACTATGTAGTGTGAGTACCTTCCTCTTTTTCCACAGTGTGACCCTCGTTCCTTTTTCAAGCATCTCATTTGTACATTCAACACAATATGAAGACACAGAAATATCTGACTGTCATTGAGTAAGATGGTGATAACAGACACAAACCTGAGAACTAAGACTCAGGAGATTCAGGAATAAAACCAAATGCGTTTGACTTGGTGCAGTCTGTTGTTCCTCTCCACATGGACTGTTCTGTTCTTTCCATGTCACTGGGACATGTTATCTGTTGCACATCAGAAACAGAAGCTCAGCTGTTCTTAAACAGTTCCCAACTTTCCTCCGATTTAAATCAATTCCTTTTAGACTGCTGCTTTCTTCCTGCACATGACTCCTCGTGAGCATGGGAGGTATTAATGTTTTTTTCTGTGTTTACAGGAAGTACATGCCCTTAGTGTCCACAGACCAACGGCAAAGCTACAAGGATGACTTTAATGCAGAGTATGATGAGTACCGCCTGCTGCACGCCCGAGTGGAGAGCATCACCCGCCGCTTTACCCAGCTGGATAGCCAGTGCCGGAAGCTCTCACCTGGCACCAAAGAATTCCAGGTCATATTAACAGATAGCTTCATTGTATTGCACTGTATGAGATGGCATCATTAAGTCCTCATGTTTTCTGATCATTTTTTCAATATGAGAAACTGAGCACACATTTTCGTTAATGTGAATTTTGTGTACGTGCTTTACATATTTTTAGTAGTTGTTATATTTGACTGGTTGTGCAATCCAGTGACATCTGCAGCCACCAGGCAGCTCACTGATGGTTAGTGTTAAAAGTGTAAAACTCTGTGCTTTGGCTCCTTCTGGAGTCCCACCCAGTTTACCACACAGCAGCTTTAGTGTTATAGTTTCTGCTCAAGTTAATTTCGAAGTTTCTTGTTACAAAATGAATGAATGCAATAGTTGTGTATGAAGTTGCATTAAACATTCAAACCTAGTAAACTCTATCTATTTTGAATTTTACAGAAAGTGCAAGAGGAAGTCTTGAAAGAGTACAAAAAGATGAAACAAGTAAGTAGTTACACATACGTCTGTCTGTTTATGATTAGGTTTGTTTTTATCAACCACAGCAGGAGCTGCTGGGGGGATGATGAATGTGGTCTAATCTTTTGTACACGTTTGTTTTACAGCACAACCCCAACTACCATGAGGAGAAACAGCGTTGCGAGTACCTGCACAACAAGTTGGCTCACATCAAGCGGCTAATAGCTGATTTTGACCAGCGCAGAGCCCAGGCCTGGTGCTGAGAGCATGGCACACGACGTCTTCACTGATCAGTATTGAGAACGGAGTGTTGAACCAGGAGGGGGCGTTCTACTGGCTCTTGTTTATGAACACCTCTTCAGTTGCTGCCTCCACAACCCCCCCCCCCTCTTTCATTCTCCCCCTCATCCTTTTTCATTCCTTCCTCCTTTTCTGAATCTTTGATTCCACAGGTTTCATTGTTGCCTAAGTTCTTGAAAATCTCACTTTTAATTTTCACCCCTCCCCCGTTCTTGGCTTTCACAATGAGCTCCTGTTGAAATTCAAACCACTGGATCAGTGGAAGGAGCTGCCTGCATGTGTGAAGGTTTTGGGGGAAAAAAACTTCAACTCTTCTAACTTTTGAAGGACTTATCCTGAGGCAAAAAAAAAAGAACAAAAAAAGTATTTTTGAGCATCAGAGAAAATATTAACATGTATTTAAGTAAAAAAGAAAAAAGAGAGGGAGATCTATTTATTTTGAGACTCGCAGTGCAAAAATGAGTCTGCAGATGATATATTGTTTAACTTTTCTTGAAAACAATGCAAAAAAATTTACAGCGGCCTTATGTGTTTTGACTTTGTGAAGCCATTTTGCACGCTAGTTTAATTGTCTTCTCATTGGGCACAGACGTCTCTCCTGGCTCATTTCCTGTCTCCTCACATAAAACTGTACTGGATCACGTTTTAACAAATCGCTGTCATTTCCAAGTTTGAGGCTAAAGCAGCAGGAAATGAGACAGGACAGAGAAATCTCTAGAGCCGAGTGAGACGCAGCAACAGTATGTGTGCATGGATTGTAAATTTAGTTGTAATGACCACAAGGTGGCGGGTGGGGTGAATAAATGGAGTATGATCCCTCCCATCAGTGGGGGGCAGTATTCCCTGCACCAACAGTGTTTAATGTGCACGGTGCATTATGGGTGCCTTAAGGTGTTTACACTCGAATATGTCGAGTTGGGCCGACCCTTAGGGGCCACAGTCTACACAAAGGAACTACAACTGCCTGGAAACAGGTTGTGTGTGTGTGTATGTGTCTGTGCGCGTGTGTCTGTGTGTATGTGTGTGAGTGACGGAGCGAGAGCAGTTGAGGAAGGAAGGGATGTTAGGTCTGGAACGAGTGTTACAAATTGTCTGTGTGTATGGTTGTGCATTATGTGAGTGAAAGAAAAAAAAAGAGAAAAGTGAGAAATATGAAAAAGACAACAAAAAAAGCTGCTACAGTGTTGAAACCAGCCAGAGCACTCAGGATCACCCTGGCTGGAGTAACAGTACCTGATCTTAACTGAAGAGATGTAGAAGATCCTGATTTTCCAGATTGTTTCACACTTAAAAACCTGGAAAGGACCATGGCTGCATCTTCAGCTTTATCCTGCGGCAAACAGTCTGTGATTTCTGTTCTAGAAAGAAGCAAAAACCTGTCATCCACCACAGGACTTTAATCTGTATCACGATGTTTCATTTATTTGACTCTCAATTTAAGTTCTGCAGAGCAGTGAAGGAGTTCAGGGTAACTTTTTTTTTTGGGGTCAACATTGATGCAGATTTAGTTCAATGGGTGATTCAATTACTTAATCTTTATTTCAACAAGGGAAAATTTGTTTACAAAACTGTGTTAGAATTGTTTGCCAAAAATTAAAGACTTTTCTGGTATAGCTTCCATGGAGTAAAATTTCTGATTTAGGCTTAATTGAAAGAGACATTAAGAACCTCTTAATTCATTGGAAAAGACCCTTGAGTTTACAGATGTGAAAAGGAAACGTAGTCAATGTTCCCCCTAGAAATATTAACATTTCAGTTCTTTCCTGGCAGTTTAGTATAAAATGTGTTCTAAGAGTCTATGTCCTGTAGTGGAAACAAAAAGTGGCACAAACTAGAGATTTAAGTTAATATTGGCCACATTCACTCATACTTTGATTGGGGCATTCAGTCAAAGAGTCCGTCTCTGCAGTAGACGGTCTGTTTTGATCTGCTGTCAGAATCAATGCAACATGATCACAAACTTGCTTGATGTCATTCAAGTTGTTTTGGACATGAATATCGGCACTTTTATCTCGGACGTGTCAACGGCCGGTTAAAAAAAAAATGTCCACTAGAGTTCAGACTCTACTTGAGATTTACGCTTCACTCTGGGCACAGGGTCGGTGTTTTGATTTATTTGTCCCGATTTCCTTGGTAATGGTCATTCCCAGAATTTAGAGCATCGCAAAGGGCAACTGTGACAAAATGAATTAACGTTGGAAGCTGGGGTGTTGCATAAAGCTGTCAAAGTGTTGTCCATCCCCACTCTCCTCTCAGCCCTCCAAAGATTTGTTTTACTCCAAAACAGATGAACAACAGGAATTACAGTAATTTATTACAGTGGCAGGAAGTGAGATAGTAAGAGGTGCTCCAGCTCTGCTCAGACGAGAGACACTTGAAAATCCAGTGAATTCTAAGTGATATCTGATCCTTCCCAGCTGAAAATGTTTGCTGAAGACATTTCAATAAAAAAGTCACAAGTTTAACCTGGAAAATGTCTCATCTTTTTTTTTTTTCCTTATATCTTTATGAACTGAGATTGCCAGTGACATTAGAATACCTCCATCCTGATGTCGAGGTCCTGCGTGCTGATTAGGTCTCTAGACATAAAAGTCAAAGATAAAGATGAAAAATACTGTGCAGATAGCTCTGTATTTATTTCTTTACTTTTATGTCGGCGTTAGCAAAATCCAAAGCTTTCACTTGCACACTGGAGGAAAAAGATTCTTCATAAAATTCGGTTTTTGAAATTGCTTATAAATGCACAGTGTGTAATGTGCTGCCACTAGAGGTCTCACTATCCAAATCTTATCTCAAAGGATGGTATGGTGACAGTGGTCTCACTTCAGTCAGACACATGACACAGAACTTTTGGCTTTGAGTGATTCTTTGACGTCTTAGATCCTGTTAAAGTTTATCGTTTAAACCACCAACATTTAAAAGAGGTCCATTGTAAAAATGTGGCTTACAACTGGACTAGACGAGTATCGTGTGCACTGTCTATGAGGACATTAGCAGACGACCAAATGAAATGGACAAGTATTTAAAGGTTCCTCTGTCTAGAAAGAGCACAACCTTAATGTGATTAGTAACACCTGTGTTTACCTACTACTTCATGTCAAAATGGCTGCCGTGAGAGGGATCTATTGCCGCGTTCCATTAAACCTTGGAGTTAGGAATTTCCAAACCCTGAAGTTGAAACTGGAACGCCCCTCAAAGTGGAATTTCGTCTTGGAAGGTAGTGAAAGCTTTCTACTGTTAATTAGTGTTTGTATTCATGAAATGCAGCGTAATACATTAAGAGTTTTTGCTAACACTGGCTAGCTGGTAACCATTGTTCCTGTTCAACTGGAATGCAGTCAACTCGGGTTCTTCGGGTGTGACGTCATTCTGAGGCCTGAGCTCCAAGGTGTGGGAAGTAACATATTATCCTGGTTAGAAATGTACTGAAAACATTTTGTATGGTGTATTAACATAACTCAACAAAATATATAATATATATAGAAATATACAATTTGAGTTTAGTGAGTTTTAGACATTTTAATGCAGAGAAGTTTCATATTAAATAAAATAGAATAAAAACAGGATAAAACCATAGACTGTATACTTAAAATGTAGAATGGAGTTTTAACACCACTTGTCATCAGGGCCCAAAACACAAGTTACAAATGCATTTATCTCACAGAGGCAGCAGGGATTGCTTGAACCAGTTGTATAAACTAACCATATATATATATATATATATATATATATATATAATGTTGTGTTTTTGCATGACACTTTATTATTTTAATACTTTAGTGGTTCAGAGGCCCCCTACAATTATCAGCTAACAAAAGCAACTGATATGCAGTTGCTCTGGTGTCAGCTGCTTTGCTCAATAGTAAATCCAGCCCTGATACCATTGACAAAATAAATTACAAACATTTCAAGCTGTCTTGGGAGCCCTCTAGTGTCACATTAGCAGACCCTCAGGCTCTGGCTGTCAACAGACATGACAAAGGTCATTTATCCAATTCAGCTCGTGTCCTCAGAACGTTTTTATAAGTCTAGACAGATTCATTATGGTCTTTTTCATGTAACATTTGGCTCAGTGGTTAGTTTACGTCCCTGCTGGAGGAACCAGGAGCTTATGATGATCTTGATTCTTGGTTAGTGATCACAAACAGAGTTAACAGTCATTAGTTAGAAGATGGTTCTGGCTCTGTGACATTCATGCGAAAACAGTTATGTCGTATCTCAAGTGTTAAGAACTGACAGACTGTCCAATAAAAATACTAAGTGATAGAAACATTGTTTGGTGGTAAAATGCTTTTCATTTAACAATTACAGATTGATGGATTCCTCACTGATCGTCAAATTAAATTGATCTGTCTGATCAGCATTCTAATAACTTGGTATCAGATTTGCTATTGAGCCAAGCAGCTGACAGCCATGACCAACTGCATATCAGTTGCTGTTGTTGGTTTATAATTTGATGACTCAAGTATCAACTAAATGAAGTGTCTTTTTCAATTCAGCGGTCTTCAGGGTGCAATCACAATGCACAGGGGTGTGGGTTGGAGGGGGGTAAAATCCCACAATAAACTGTAAATGTTTATTTTACACTTTTAATAAAAAGCAAGTTGAATGTCATTATTTAGATGCAGAAATAAACTTGTGCTGCTCTTTATTTACATTTGTACGACAGGTCGGGCTGCTCCTGCTTCCCTCTCTCCTCTGGTCTCCACCAGCAATGCATGATGATATATATATTGCTCAGTTACTGAGCATTGATTGTGCACTACCTTTCACGATGCATTGTGGGAAACGAAACCTTCAGACAGCACTATAAAATGGCAACATTACTATAAATTGATTAGTGAGTGATTTCAGGCACAGCCACAGTGATTGGCTTCATTTCTGGATAGTGGGAGGAAGTGGAGACACGTCGTCCATCTGAAAATACAGTCTGTGGTGAATCCGGCCGTGTATTCTGAGCTGCAGTGGTGTTACTTTATCACTTCAAGTACTGAGCACTGAAAAATCCACCGCTTGTGCACGCGCTTGTGTGCACGCGCGGCGGTGTGTAGTGCCGCTTTAAGAAGAAAGTGGCCTGGCTGACGTCATCCTCATGAGCATAATTGACAAAGGGCAGAGCGATCATCTTTCTTCTCCCCAATCCGTGCACCTTCCCCTCCGTGTGAGGCTTCAGCTCCGAGCATGGCGCAGCAGTTTGTTCAAACGAAGATCAAAGGAGACAAAGTGGTGCTGTTCATCAAGCCCAAGTGCCCCTACTGCATCACGGCCAAAGACGTTTTGTCCAAATACAAGTTCAAACCCGGACATCTGGAGTGCATTGACATAAGTGGCCGAAGCGACATGGGCAGCATGCAGGACTATTTCTTGGAGCTCACCGGAGCCCGCACGGTAAACACTGTACTTTACTTTGCAATCGCACAACAAAAGAACAGAGTCAGTTTGATCAGTGTGAGAAAAGAGATTTCATTCGTTTGTCTAATGGAAGTGAAACATGTTTTTTTTTTTTAATGACGTCATTCAAACCTCGTTACATTTAAATATAAAGCAAAATATAACTTGTAACAGCTAAGCAATGATATTCATGTTAGCTATGGTGAAAAACACTCCTGGACTCTGAATATATATTTTTCATTAGTTGTCCATAAAGGTCTGTTTTGAATTCAGGGCGTCTTCACTAAAAGAACTGCGCGAGCTTCACACATGACTCAGCCTTTTGTCTGAAAGTCTGTGTCTGAACTCCAGCTCTGTCAGATCAGAGGTTCCGAACTTATCAGCTCAGTTATTATTAATGTGTGTGTGTGGATAAATAACTTTATCCTGGCAGATGATTATTTTCATCAAATTTTGGATAGAATATGACATAATTATATAAAGTTTGTTTATACATCTGTGATTTCCCTGACCAAAAATACTTCATCGCATTAATGTAAAGAATTAAAATCTGCTACTTAAGTTCTGCTCATTCATTTGCAGCAACAGTTGATCTGACACATCCAGTTAAAGCGAACGTTACTGTAGTTTGAACAGGATGGTAAAATGTGTGATAGTAGACGAATGTATGATGTATGATGGCCCTGAAGTGCAACTCACAATAGCAAATCACTAAATACGACGAAATACAAAACACAACGACAAATCTCAAGACAAAATCTATAAATCACAGAACCAAAACGACAAATAAGAAAACACAACAATGTATCACAAATAGGACAGAATTGACAACAAATTACTAATAAGTACTGAGAAGGTTTTTGTCTTATTTTATGTTTTCTTACTTGTGTTTATGTATTTGCTGTCGTGTTTTGTGATTTGCACTTCAGGGCTACCATAATGTGTCCTGGTGGTATATATCATCTGCAATTGCATATTCGCCAACTACTTTTCTCGTATCGATTGTTAATCTAGGTCCCTCGGGTGTTCATCGGTGAGGAATGCATTGGCGGCGGGAGTGATGTGGAGGCGCTGCACAAGAATGGTAAACTGGAGGGCATGCTGCAGTCCATTGGAGCCCTGCAGTGACCTGCTCCAAGCCCTGCAGGTACAGGATACCACACAGACCCTCATGATGCGTCTTTCTTTCTCTTGACACACACTCACTCATACAATGTAGTTTGTGACAGCAGGCAAGAAAAGGAGGAACCTCTCTAAAGACCCAGAGCAAGTCATCAAGTGTGTAAATTAGTAACAGTAGGCTCTCATTAGTGGAGGAATAAATAAACAGGTAATAAGACGCCTCAGGTGTTGATCAGAGAGGTGAGATGTAATTACTCTAGTAAAGGAGGAAGATCTGCTCTGAGCCCACACTGCACCTGATCCTGATGGAAATGTACAGATAGAGGACAAATGAAAGGAAACACCTGAATGAACAGACAGACAGAGATACTTCCTGACAGGGTGTGCTGTGGGTCTGACTTCACCTTCTGCGAACATAATGACAACACAACGGTCGTCGTCAGAGTTATCAGATGGAACAGTCGGTTTATGGCAATTCAACAATCTTTAAGGAGAAAAAGCTGTGGTTGATCTGTAATGTTTTTGGATTGAGTCACCGTAGGAGTTGATGACACATATTCTGTTGGTATGAAAGACAAAGATGTTATTCAGCTGATCCTAGAATTAAAATGCAATAATCATCACCACCATCACCAAAAACAGTCTGTAGCTCACATTTTCCTGTCTGAACCCTCCCGAGAGGAAACTGACCGAGCCTGATCCAAACCTGACAGGCACTCCCTGAGACTGATGGAGTTAATATAAGCTGTCTGTGTCTGTGTTTCTTTCCCTGACACACATGGCTGATTCCAGACAATTTGCTTTGCCACAAGGTGTGCACCTGATACATCCGCCTTTGTTTGACCAAGCGCTCAGGCACTTTATGTAAAGTTGTGAATGTAGACAAAGTGCACAAAGACACGGCTGCACCTGTACACAAATCAACCAACACAGCAGTTAATCATGGAGTCTCTGTTCATTCTAAAACATGTCTTTATTTAAAGTCAGACGTCATGTTATCTACAGTCTGTACAGCTCTGACTCAGTGGAGCCTCATGTGTCTCCTGTGTGGATTCACTACTTTCACAATCCAGTGTTTCAGCTGCTACTTACTCACAGTAGACCGGGAATTATTTTTTTCTGTTGTCATTCGAACTAGACACTTGCACTGTTGTGCTGCAGCAGTTGGTTATCACTAAGGTTAAATACACACTGACTGGTTAAGGGTCGCTTCAGTGTCAGAACCCGACAGTGATTGTGGTCTCTACACAGTGTGCTGCAAGAACTGGATAAACACATGTCTAAATGTAGTTTGACTTATACTGATCCACTGTATAAGTCACTTCTGAACTATAAGTACCATTTGCTCTTTTTGGTTTTTCTATAAAGTTCTTTTGTCTTCTCTACCACAGTGTTGTTTTTTTAATTTCTCAATCCTTTTAAAGTAAATGTCAGTGAAACATTGGACAGTAAAGTAGTATGACCCAACTGTGTCTGCTCCAAATGTAAAAAATCATAAATGTCCACATACAGCACAGTGTACAAAAATAACTGCAGCACCAAGAAATCATAATCTCATTATGATTCAAAACAACGTCTCAAAATCAAAAGGATAAAATAAATATTGCGTATCCACCCAGAGGCATTTTGGCTTTATTGTACCAACTTCATGTTCATGTCCATGATTAGAAAAACAAATCAGAAAACAGTCAAAATTGAACACGATTTAATCTGGATCACAGCATGTACGGACTTCATATTAGTTTAACACCAGCAGCCTTTTCACCTCGCAGGTTAACGTGCACGTGTCTGTGCTGAATGTAGTGATGCATCCCTTCCAATTTATTCTGTCACAGCAAACACACAACTTTAAGTTTACTGTCTAGATGAAACTGCTGCTAAACCACGTTGGTTTTACAAGAGCAGCAGGCGGCTGCTTAACATCTTTGACTCCACAGTTAGACGCTGTTGTACATGAGTACGGTATAGATTCTCATGGCACTCAGTAGACCACATACCTCCACCACATCCCAACAATCCTATACATGATATGTTAAAACAATCCTGAATGCTGGATCTTAATCCACATCTGTAACAAAATGTAAAGGACTCTTCTCAGACCAAGGCTCAGCTCCATCCCTCCAACAAGTTTGGGGGAAATTGGTTCAGTAGTGTTTGTGTAATCCTGCTAATAAATGAAGCAACAAAGAGAAACAGGGTAAAACAAGAGATGTTCCGATACCATTTTTCCTTTCCGATACCAGTTGCCTTCCTGATACCAGTGTATTTCAAAAAAACTGAAACCGCTGAATGCTTCTAATCCTGTATGGAAGTGATGATTGATATCATTGTGTTGCACTAGTGTTAAAACTAGTCGTCATTTTACTTGTGGGACTTGAGTTGTGGAGAAGATGTGATTTCAAGGAAAAGAAAATTCCAGTTGTATCATGATGAAACTTATATACTTTAAAGACATGGGAATGGATCACATGTACATTTGTGTACAAGCAGATGCCGGATCAGAGGCGTTTTCAATGCTGGTATCAGAACATCTCTGGTGAAAACATAACCTCCTTAACTGAGGTAATAATTCATTGAACCGACTCATATTTCTGGTGCTGAGTAGTGAGGGTAGCAGCGTTTAACCAGAGTCGACTGATTACGCTCATCCCTCTTCATGATATGGTTGTTTTTCCTAAATCTGTACAAGTAAACGCTACAAAAGGCTTGAGCCTGTTTGTGCTGCAGACAGATCTTTTTATTATTTGTTATTGCAGATATATAAGGAATAGTTTCTAAATGATTTCATGTCATCCTGCCGAGGAAATGTGTGCAGTTTAATGTCAGAGTTTAATTCTCCTGTCATTTCTCAATGAAAGTGAAATTGCCTCGTTTGACACAAGACTCGGGGCAGAATGTATTCCACCGCACGCTGTAATAACATCAGTCTGACTCTGAAGCGCTCACTGATGTCTTGCTATAGATCTGAAGGAATCTAATAAAAGAATTATAATTAAATTGGTCCTGCTCGTCTTAACTGCGGCCTTGGTACATTACAGATGAAAATGAGTTTGACTGTGCGAGCAGCAGCGTTACCAGTTGCTCTCCACTCTGCTCTCTGTGTTAATGTAGGTCACCGCTCACATGAAATAACTCGCTGAGAAGTTAGCGGCTCACGAATTATTTCAGCTCCGGAAGAAATGCTGCAGATGTTCACATTCTTGAGATCCAACAGGACACAGATGCATTGTGGGTTTAATTCAAGAGGGAACAGTCCAGCGTGCATTGAAGTCATTCAACCTGTTACTGACGTCCACACGTGATCCCGGTCTGTTGTCTTAACTCATGTGTGGTGGTTTGATTCAGTATATTTGTACTTGTAATGGAGCCATTTTGTGTCAGTGTTCATCTTCAGAATCCTCCATTTTGCAGCAGCCAATAGAAAAAAAATTATCTTTCACTCACGGAGCCACTGGCCAGTGACCAGACAGTCATTTTAAATTCACATTGGCTTTAAAGGATCAGTCATTTCTTATTGCCCTCAATGGAATAGTCATTATGCAAAGCACACACACATTCCTCCAGGGGAGGAGAGGCATGTGTGTGCTGCAGCGGTGCACGTCACCGCTGCAGCACACTGTACATACGATGCTGTCCGATTGGTTAAGGAGTCTCGTGACATGTTCCTCGCCCTTAGTCAGCCCTTCATCCAGCAGCACAAACACTGTTTCTTCTGTTCCCCCACATTTTGATGAGCAGTTTATTATGTTCTCCTTTGATTCCCCAACTCTGCTTTTTTTCCCGCAGGCCACTGGAATCCACATGTGGGGGTCACATGACTATGCAGCGGGACTTGCGTAGTTTGCGACGTCGTTGCTGGTACTCGCTGAGCTCCTGCAGGTAGCCTCTGGATGGCCAGCGGAGCCTCTCTACCTGTTCGCGCTCCTCATCTGGAACACACATTCGCTTATCAATAATTTACTGCATACACAACTGTGGAAAAATTATTACAACCACATTTACTGCAGTCGGCACGTAATCTCAAACACACATACAGTAATAACTCCCTGGATTGTTGCCATGAGCTCCAACAAGACTGAAATGTCTGACTGAGGATTTTGTGTACACCAAGAAGCCACAGAGGACCAACAGTGATCGATCATGTGCTGTCTCTTTATCTGACCTTTGACTTTGCTTGTGCCCTCCAGTACCCGTCCAATGATCTGAAATAAGTCTTGTGTCTGTGATGTCAATAAAAAGTTCTACTGCTTCAAACCAGAGCAATGTTGCCGTGGATCATTATTCCGTCTTTAGCTGCTTTCATGTGGTCGGTTTGACACACAGGACTCAAATAACTAGGGGGCAAATAGAACTCAAGCATAAACTTAGTAACAAGTAATCAACATAAGCACTATAAGGAGGCTTTAGTCTAAAAAAGGCTGACAGCTCACAAATCTGCTAATGCAGGAAACAGGTTTACACAGGATGAGTGCGACCATGTTTGATTCTAAAGTGACAATTATTAGTGGAAACCTTGCACCTCATGTATTTTTGTATGCTGTTGGCCATTTGACAGAAAACAAGAAGCCTGGCATTCACAGCGTTTATCAGACAGATGCTGCCTGACCTGCACATACTGTGTTAAAAGCCTGCAGGCATTCTCACTTAATTATTACTCTGCGCAGCATAGCCCAAGGCAGGATATCCTTTTGATGTGTGTGTGTGTGTGTGTGTGTGTGTGTGTGTGTGTGTGTGTGTTTCCTAACTCGACGGTGCAAAAACAGATTTTCATTATAGTTGGTGTGAATATTAGTTGGGAGGGATATCTCCAGAGATCGGGATTTGGAGCTGATCAGTCAAAGGAGACGGACAATCTAAAGCTGTCCCTCTGATGCTTCTCATTTGTAAAGTGAAAACATAAAGTGTAAATGAGCAGTTTCATTTAGCTTTCCTTCAATGCAACAATTTCAATTTGCATAATCATCACTTACAAGGCTCAGTTACAATCGTCGAACGTGTTTTAAATAGCTCTGGCACTGACCTGAGAGCTCCAGGAAGTCAGGTTTGTGACTGAAGATCAGGTAGTTGTTGGCGATGAAGTGCAGGAGCCAGACGTACAGCTGCTCTGCGTTGTGGCACTGGGAGTCGACAGAAACAACGTGGTAAATAACAGTTACTCTCACAAAAAAACAGCGTGGAGCAATTTTTCTACCAAAAGTAGATTTCTGCAATGCGAATCATCTGCATTTTGTATATTATAATGAGGCAGTCAACAGTTCTCTTGTTCCATATTTTATCCTCATATATGAACCATTTCACGGACCTTTGCCCTGCGGAGTAGTCGCACCACGCTGATCCCTGTGGATGCCAGCTCTCTACTGGGCATGCTCTGAAGGTACGCGCACACGCAGACCTCACACAGGTGCTGCAGACGTTTCACCTGGTACATCTCGGCACAGACCAACACGGCCATGGCCTGCATCACACTGGCTGGACACACAAACAAACACACGAGATACACAGGTGATATACGCACTTACATTGTTATAAAACCATCTATGTCACATTTGAACCCTGATGTGTGCTGCAGATGAAGACATTTAAAAACACAAACGCCTCGAGAATGAATTAGAGGTCTGATGTTGGAGAGTTTTTATGTTTATCGTTTTAAAAGTTAAATTGGAACAGACACTGAAAGTTAAAAACAACCATATAAGAATAAAAGTTTTTTGTGTGTCTATTTATGAGACATCAGTCCTATCAGTTAATACAACTCTTTGACAAAATACTTCAAGTTTGTTAATGGAAGACAAAAAGTGATATTGTATATTATATACAACAAAATCATCTTAAATAATAAATCAAATTAAATAAATGAAAATTAACAATAGATCACGTGTCTGTCGTGCACCTTTCAGCACACACTCTCTCATCAGTCGCAGCAGTAAGCTGCTTTTATGAATACACATAAACAAAGTGTACATGTCCTGACCAGGCAGACTGACACAGCAACCGGCTGGAGAACACAGAGCATTTAGCAGGTATTTAATTAAACTAAGTTAAAGCTTACAGGGCTTAAAGAGTAGATACTGGACTCATTTAACATGTTAACATGAATTCAAATGAATGATAATATTGCTCTGTAATTGCTGGATATGTTTTTAATTGTTTGCTAACACATTTCCAATAACTGTATGGAGCTATGTAAAGTGAAAATGAGTCGATACTGACTCCTCAGCTTGTTCTGCTGCTCCCAAGTGGCCAAGAAAATCAATGAATGAAGCATTAAATGAAAAATTAATGCACTTGTACCAAAGTGCAAAATATGGCTTGGCTACAGCCTCATCTGGAGTTTACAAACATCATGTATGTAAGACATTTAAATTTTTCTCATCATATTACAATCAGTACCGTCTACAGTACATCCTTTGTGCACCAGATTTCGTGGAAATCTCCTCCAACTACATGGTCTCAATCTCAGCTGTGTGTTTCTGGTCAGAGCCCACTTGTCAAATCCCACTTTATGAAACAAACGGATACATTTTCTCATTGCTCTTTTTCCATGCTGTCAAATTACATCCCTAAATACATAAATGCAAATGTCAAACAAGTGGTGCCAATCCTATTATGTAATGCCGGCACGTCAAATCAAATTACCCCTGATGTTTCCTGACATTTATGTGAGTCAAACGCCAACGTCAACATCCCCCCCCCCCCCCCCCCCCCCCCCCC